TCGTCTCCCAAACAAGCTTTACTCACTTGCGGTTTCGTCAATTTCTTAGGATGCCGCCCGAGCGACGCTGCTACGGCCCGAGTACTCCAAATGAAGGCCATGTTTGGACACACTATGGCAGTCTACAGCACAAATTTGCGGGACTAAAACGATGCCGAATTGCTGACTCCATGACCTTGGTTGAATCAGACTTGACTTCCCTCGCGCAATAGTTAAATCCTTAGGCAACATTTCAAGCTCATCAGAGTTGCCATCTCCCTAGGTGCCTGCTGAGAGTATAGCAGCGGCCGCGTCGTAAGAATTCAACCATCACCTGACCGATTGCACGTTCAATACTAGACCCGACATCCGCCGCTGACGGAAAGCCTCATCCGCAGAATCCACAGCAGAAATGCCAAGACATGACACATAATCGTCGTGTCATGATGTCTACGACAACCACAAGCAATATCTTCAAGCCCGCCGATCGCGTTTCGGGTGCGTCGCAATGCATGCGCGCCTTTCGCCCTCCGAAGAAGTCTAAGCGCCATTGCGACCTTCCTTACCTTCCGGTACGGCCGGCAATGTCATCTGATGTTTCCGCAAGACACATCCACCGAGACAGGGCAGCCATCAAGAAGCAAGGAGCCAACGGCTTTAACGACAGAAGTTCTCTAGGGGTTCATGACGGCTTTCGTTTGGGTCTGGAACAAGGCTGTGGGGTGTCTTTGGGCAGAATCAGGCTGAAATGGATAAGACTAATCCGTGTTGGACGAACCAAAGGGGAGGAATGCTTCTGTGTAACGTCCAGGGGCTATCGTTTCTTTTCGAGCAGGCTGGGAACAGGTGCAATCGTCTCTCGCTCGCCTCGCCTGGCCAAACGCCGCCGGGGCGGCTTCGGCCGGAAAGTTTCAACAGCGAGAGATTCGACGGCCGAAAGACAGTGGCGAAAAGGAAACTATTGACGAGGCTGGACTATTACCTCTGTGAAGGTGAGCCGATTGTGATGTGTGTGGTCATACAATTCAGGCACAGCCGACAAGGACAGAAAAAAAAAAAAAAAAAAAAAGGGATATTTTCGTCTTCGTTCATGCTCACGTCGGTCTCTTCTTCGGTGGAATCTTTGAGCATGCGGAACACACCCTAGACCATCAACCCGTCAAGTCAGTCTCGGCCCTGCGAGAACGAGCCCATCAAATCTAATCTTTTCTTTCCCATTTTGACTTTATGTGTGTTTTCCTCATTGAAAAGGGGGGTGAAGGGTGTCGTCGTTTGTTGCGACTTGCCGCCCGGTAGTGCCGCCAGCAGCCGTTGTCGCCGTGAAGATTACGGACTTCGGCCTTGCGCGCGCGCGGCAAGCGGGCCAAGGCAGACGAGAGATTGAGGGACAGATACAGGTATGAGCTGGCAGCGCAGATGACACGCCCCCCAACGGAGAGGGGACCACGTGCTCGTTGCTTTTCTGGAAACCTTCTCGATGGGACGGGGTTACATCGGGATTGGGGCCTGAATTGATGTCTGCCTTAACCATTGCTTTTTCCCGTTCCTCTTCTGAAGAGGGAACCAGAGAGAAAGAGAGAGTCAGGACTGGATGCTGTAGATTCCGTCATGGCTTGAGGACCGAAGCACTGTGAGAAGGGGACAACGGCCGATGGAATTGAATGCAGACAGGTTTCTGACGCATGCGATGTCGTCAGACGGGTAGATGCAGCGGAGGATCGATACAGACTGGGCGTCTGGAGGCGAACGAGCAATACCTACTTACGGCCAGGGCACACATACGTTTTCTCGGCGCGCCGTCTGATGTTACAGCGGGCCTGGATGGCTGTCTTGGTTTGATCTTCAGTTCATCCGATGTTGGTTGGGAGCGCCGTTCCGAAGAATACGCGCTGCCCGGTCTCGTCTTTTCCTCTCTTCGTCTACTTACGCGGCTACGGTAGCATTCTACCCCAAGCAGCATTCTCATCCTTTCGTCTTGGGTGTCGTTTTGCTAGCTGAGTCTTCTGAAATATTGCGAATGCAGGTAACCGGCGGTATTTCATGCGCAGCTGGTGTGGTTGATCTCCTGGTCCAGATCGACATGGGGGTCTTTCTCTCTATGTGGGCGCCGCGCGGACTTTCATGCGGCTTGCTGACGGGCTGCAGAGGGACGAGGCTTCCAACCAACCACACGATCTTACACAGTGCAGTCGCCCAATGCAAGCCGCCGAAACCCACGTTTGCGGGCAGGCTACCACGCGTGCTGTAAATCTCCGGTTGTAGATTTGCTGGGTTGGGAGTGATGAAATCTCACATCGCCTCTCATCTAGTCATATTCCCGGCTCATCGTCGACAAACAATGCGGCACGCGCCCGGGGTTTCCGATCGAGAAAAACCTCCGACGTGGGAAGAAGTTTTCCCATCGGCGGTAGCGAATTCCTCCGTGAGAAGTGACGAGGTCGAGGACCACCCCCCGGCACACGGTTGGGATGGATGTGATGGATGGACGGAGCATCGTGCCCGCGGTGGGTTTTGCCGGCCGCGTGAAGATCGCGAGATCGCAAGATGCGAAGAGGAGGAGTTTGGTGGTGGGACGCCCACCCAGCACCCAGTGCGTCAGCGAGACGAGAGAGCCACACACACGAACGCACAGATGCAGGAAAAGTGATCTGTCTCTCCCTCGGGGATGGGGTTCCTGTTCTTTGGGCGGGAAAGTAATCGGCAGACCCTTGTCAAACGACAGGGATGGTATCCCGGCGAAAGGGAGGGGAGCAGATCGAGAGGTGGACTCCGATCCTTGAATGTACCCAACCGCAGCACGCATACATTGCTTTTTCCTTTCGCTTTTACTTCGCTTTTGCGAACACAAATCTTCTCTTCTTTTCTTTGGCTTGGAGGATTTTCCCTTTTGGCACCGCATGGGCAACTCACAGACTCCTTCAGAGGAAGGGGTTTCTCTCCTGCCCAAAGAGGGTCCCCGTCTCGGATCTTGGAGGGCCTGGGGCTGAACGAGATGTCTGGGCTCACACATGTCTGCTATCCCGTGACCTGAGCCCGGGACGATCATCCTGCTCCATCGTAGAGAAGGGGGGCGGCAAATAGCGCCATCCGAGACTTTTAACCTTTGAGAAATTTCGCTTCTCGAGCGCGTTCGTAGGCGCCATGTCTGGGCTTGAGGCAGGCAAGGGATGATGAGGCTCTATGAGAATGGCGTCGAGGGGCGGGGCGTTTGATGGTGCCCGAAAGTGTCCCAGCCACGCGGAGATCACGACTCGAGCAGGACTCAGGGCAAAGAGGGCTGAGAAGCCGCTGCGGGCCCTTTCTCGCGGCCGGCGACTCCCGTCGACGGCGTCACTGCTAGAGGCATGTAGGGATAGACGGGGGGATATACCACAAGGATCGGGGAGGCCAGGCGAGGTGGTTAGAGTTTGTGATAAGAAACGATGGAGAGAGGCAGATCGAAGTTTGGGATCGCAGCCCGTGGACGGGTAGTTGCAGCCGGGTAGATTGCGTTAGGGGCCGCGCCGCCCGCCCGTTCGATGGTTGAGATGACATCTGGCGGTGACAGCAGCCAGGAGTCATGGATAGGAAAACCGGGTATTCCGGGAGCGGGTACGTCCGTAGATGGCGCGTGTTTATTGCGTGTTTTTTTGTCGACGGGATCATCTATGACGAGGACTTGATGTCTGTGGGCGAAACCCGCGGGTTCGAGGTTGCATGCGGTTGATCCCGTCCGGCTTACGAGAGGTGGAATAAGCAAACGGCCGGGGGGTTGAAGTGAGGGAAGGGGAAGGGGGAGAAAGAAACAAAGACTTTGACTGATGGCAGGAACTCAAAAGACGTTGAAGGCGTGGCATTTCTTGACTGACATGTTCGAGTCGTACGTAACGCAACGGCACGCCCACCTGTCCCGGGAACGATCCACATGGACCACACGGGATGACACGGAAGGGCGAATCGAGAAGCGGTGAAACCGAGGCGAGGGTGCGAAGGATGAATAGAGTACCGCTTCCAGAGTTTCTTTCTGTGGAAGAACGAGAGGAATCGAGATTTGCTGTGTTTGGAAGTGTTGAAGGGTTCGCTTGCTCTCTGCTCAGGGGCCGGGGTTCACGGGGAAGGCCGCGGAGCATGGGGTCGTGGTCGGCAGTGGTACACGTGTTTGGCGGTAGGGCAGCGCAGGCTTCGTTTTCTGACGAGGAATCCAGCACTATGTCGCAATGGGCCGCTATTGACGGCCTTCCTTGCGTCTTGGAAGTCGTTTTGGCAGAGACGAATCTTTGACTTATCGCCGGGGGAGGGATCATGGGATGCCCGCGGAATGGCAATCCTTGCTCCCGAGGACCCTTGCTGCTCTTGGCGGTGTTCGCCATCGCGTTTCCCATTGCCGAATCGCTTGCCTGTTTGAGACGAAGGATGAGAGATATCGAGAGATGAGGGAGCCTGGGAGGAATCATCGCTTGATGGTGACGGAGTGTGGGATGAGCCGGAGAACGTGTAGATTGAGAGGTGGTGATGCTTCATGCCCGGCTTCGGTCGGTGACACCCACCATGAGGTCAAGAGGAAACCGGTGAGCACCTCACATCCATGCGGCCAAGAGGCCGCCACCGTTTTCTGATTATTCTATCTAACTACCTACCTAAGCTATGGCTATGGGCTACCTACGGACGGCTTACACCAAGACCTGTTAACCGGGACATCTCCTATGCAACCACCCGCAGACTCCAACCAACCAGCCCCTCCTCCACAACACCACCTTCCCCAAACCAACCCCTTTGCCGAAAAAACGATATCAGATACGATGATTAAACCTTGTAAGTGAGAGCCTCGCGCACTAGCCGAGCGATTAAAACCTTTCCACCGGGTAAAGAAGAGAAAGCAAGCCAGATCCTCCCAAGATACCGCAACGGGTACCCGCGCTGGTCCCAGCCCAAAACATTACATCCTCCTCTTGATGCATTTTCCTAAACCAGATGTTCTCCGATCCCGTGCACCATTCCCGGTTGTCTCCCCCCTTTCCCCACACAGTCCCGATTGCCTCCCCTCAAGACACAGACGAAGCCCGTCGCCGCATGCCGTCAGGCCGATGCGTCTTGACGCACCCCTCGCACCCAGGACTGAACACGTCGGGCAGCCTCTCGAACAGGTCGGCGCGGTAGACGTACCACTCGCGATAAAACTTCCACTCCTCGAGGAACTCGGCCCAGTAGACGAGCCGCTCAACCAGCCAGCTGTCGCGCAGGCGGTCGCGGACCCACTCGGCCGACTTCTCCTCGCGGCCGGCGTACGTGCGGAGCACCTCCGGGCGGAGGTCGGCGGCGCGCTCGGCTGTGTGGTAGACGAACTCGGCCCGGCGCCCGCGCGCGGTGAAGTAGGGCACCGAGCCCCACTCCACCACGGCGCGGGAGCCCGTCAGCGAGACCACGCGTACCGTGCAGCAGATGCACTTGGCCTGCGCGAGGAAGTCGCGGAGCACGGTCGAGGCTTTAGGGGTGCTGGTCCGAGGGTGGAGCTGCATGGTGCTTGCTGCGCCGTTGGCGGTGCTGTTGGTGATGCGATACGATGCGATGCGATGCTACTGTTGGCGTTGCCGCCGTGGACGATGGCTTGGAGGAGCTGCGGGAGGCGGCATCGTTAGTCTGGCCGGCTGCCTGCGTCGACGACAGTGGGATGATTGTGGGGTATCAGAGTATGCGGTGTAGGAAAAGGCAAGGCTCACGAGGGTGTTGTCGATGGTCTGGCGTCATCAACACGACCGTATCCAGATTCGTCCGTGAACTTGGCAAAGGGGTACGGATACTGTGCACTGCGGTACAGAACACGCGAGCGAGCGAATGTATCTCAAAGTGTCCAAGACCGGTTTGTTCTTTTTCCTTTCTCCCGTCCCTCTCTTTGCTTTCCCTTTCCCCCTTCAGGCCTGACGGGCTCCGATCCCAATCCCAAATCTCGACCACGCGAGGATCCTGATTGCTGTTTCGCTCTGGGCTGGGCTGCGGTGCTAGGGCTGGCCTTGCAGCGGAACCGCGACGGGAGGAGCGAATCCTTGACACGAGGGGAGAAGCTGGATGTGGTTTGTTGTCTTTGATCCAAAGGGAGAGGACGGACGGCGGCGGATGGGCGAGGCTAAGGTCGGAGGGACGGGACCCATGCTTTCCCATGCAAGGATCGGGAAGCCCAAGTCAATTGTTCATTTATAGGGGCCTCTTTTTGCTTCTCCCTATGGCTATTCTCGTTACCCCAGCTCTGGCTCTGCATGCCTTGCTTCCCCATGATGTCTCACTCGCCTTGGCAGCGAGGCCCTGGTTCCTCTGGCGGGGCCCGCAATGATGCAGTCCCTCATCTGGGTGGCTTTATTCTTTATTTTTCTGAGCCGTCATAGTGATGAAGGAGGGTGGCATGCGTGTCTTGAAGACTTTGTAGCAAGAGCCGAGGAACCAGACAGAGAGAGACAGAGCCAGAAAAAAAGAAAAATCGGAGAGAGCAAGGAGGCCGGGTGGTGGTGGTGGTGGTGGTGTCGTCCCCTCGCTTCATGCTATCGTTGCCACGGAATGCTTTCTTTTTCCGCCCCGTCTCTGTGGACACCCATTTGCGAGAATAAAAAAAAAGTAGAGAGAAAGCGACAATGTGTGCCAATGTCACTCTCCCAGGCCTCTTCTTAGTCACTCTGCTCGAGCTGCCATCCCGGGTTCGAAGTCAGAGAAGAGACCGGGGTGGCATACCCGGGCGATCGCCCGCCCCAATCGCGCGGAACCCCATCTGCGGACGCAATGGCGCTATCACATCTCAGAACGCACGACGCATGACAGCGCCACGCCAGGATTTCCCGCAGCGCGTTCTGCTGCTGCTGCTCGCCAGTCTCTTGCTGCACCTCTTTCTCTGTCTCTCTCACTGTGTGTGTGTCTCGACTCAGTGAGATGGAGGGCCATCAAATGGCAACCTCCGTCTGGCTAGTCGAAGCGAAACTGCCCCTCATCCCTTCATCTCGCAGTCCGATCTGTCTAGACCTTCGAGGAGCAGCATCCTATTTTCGGGAATATTACCATGCAGGCAGAACAACAACCGGCTGATTTCCTCAGACTGGACTGAATGATTGATTGGTAACCCGTCGCGCGACCAGACACCGCACCGCACTGTCATCGCTGGTCTGATATTCGCTGGGATGTCCGTCTTCCGAGGAAGCATAGCGCCGAGTTGCGTGCAGGGGTGGATGACGGCCTCGGCCAACAAGGCTGGTCCCGGCTTGGGGTTCAAAATGCTCATCGTATCCCCCTCCCCTCCAAGCGTCACTCGTGAGCAGCAAAAATTCTTTCTTTTTTTCCCGAAAGCCACTTAGCAAAGGGGCCGCCTAGAGTCGGGGGTGTCGAGAAAGAAGAGGGTACTTCTGACTCGGCCTCTGCTTTCTGCTGTTCCATTCTCCATTCCAGCCCCCGTCGTCTCTCGGTGACCAAACGATAGACGGCGGCCACGAATGAGCGAGACCGCGCTCGAAGACGAGCCTGGTGTGCCTGGGCCAGGGCAACGCTGATTTCTTTTGGCAGACCTTCGTTTTTTCTTCGTCTTTTCTCTCCCGCCCACCGCCAAATGACATAGGTAATATTATTCCCATTTTCTTTTGGCTTGAAACAGGGCTGGCTTCCACACGAAGAGCCCACCCTCTGTTCCCTTGATAATCTGTTCCGTTCGGTTATTCATACACTCAATTACAAGGAAAAACAACACAACATCTTACCTTTTCCAAAAGAAACCATTCCGGATATGCCCAAAGTCCACATCCTACCCTCCAACCCCCCCTTCCCCTACACCCACCCCAGTCTTTCTATCTGGGTAACACCTTGGCGGGCGCATCGAGACTCAGTCGGGGGTGGGATGAGAGAGGGAAGGGATAGAAACGTGCGTGGGGATCATCTCTCACACGGCACTACACTACCCATCCCCATCAACCCCCCATGTCGTCGGCCCTCGCTCGCAAGTGTCCCCATTGTAAAAAGAAGGTCGGTGCTGCAGCCACTTGGGCTTAAGATCTTACATATACCCGCTCGTCGAACCAGCACCTCGGGACGTCGGACGTCTTCTGACAGGCTACTCCTCTCACCGGTATCTGTCCCCCCTTGCACTTGCCTTGACCGAGTTGTCATGCCAAGTCCCCATCTTTTCCCAGTCTAAATCGACTTCACACACAAAATCACACACAACGACACACCTGTTGCTGTACGTCTGACAAGCCCGACGTTGAGTTGGGAGTCTGTTGCTGACAGGAAACCCCATAGCAAACAAACTCGTTTATCCCGCCATCCGCCGTCTCCATTATTTCGTCTAGCGGCCCCTCCCTCGTGCGGTATCCAAACAGAACGGATACCCAGGTCTTCTTGCAAGCCCGCGCCAACCCGCCCTCCAAACCAGCTCCAACCCAATATGTGCGAGTGGTACCGCCGCAACTACGCCTGCGGGCACCACTTCACCGGCGCCTCCGAGTGGTGCTACCGGTACAGCCAGACGCAGAAGCGTTGCAAGGTCGTCGTGACGCAGGTCGACTACGACGCTTCGGTCTGCAAGAGCTGCATGAAGAAGGGCCACAAGACGGAGGTGCCCTGGGAGCACATGATTGACCGGACCAAGTACGATCCCAGCCGGGACGAGTGAAGATGAAGGCCCCTCAGCTTTCTCTTCATTGACGACCTCTTGGGGATAGGTGGTATACGCAACAACGACAACATTTTGAACGACGACGGAATACCCAGCAACCGCCGTAATGACGGTACCAAGCGGCAAGAAAGCTCTGACACGGACAGGAATCAGGCATGGCAAAACAATACCCCCTCCTTAATGAATCGCCTCCAAACGGCGTGGGTTCTCTTTTTTTCTCATCATGGGCGAGACGGATCTTCTCCCCGCAGCGGCGTTGGGCAAAACGCATCGGTATCGTGTAGGTAGCCGCGGACATGGCTTACTAGAGCATCAGGGTTCGGCGCACCTTATACCCATTTGATTTTTCGGTTTCTGTTGAGGAGTCAGTCTGCGTTTCTGGTTTTTTTTGCTTTCAATTTTCACAACGGTCTGTTATTTCTTGTTTTTCTTTCGGTTTCTTTCCCGTTGGGGATTTTGGAGTCTAGGAAGCGGGGTCTTCGCACCAAAAAAAAGTGTACTTTACCAGTCTGTTGATGATTGCCACTCGGACCGGTTGAACCGACCACACCCTCAATGGAAGCCAGTGTTCTACTGCCTTGTCAACATGCTGTCTTGAACCTTTGGTGGTCTCGCCGAGGCTCTCGTGTGTGTGTTTCCGACGTCGGTGGTGTGTTGTGCCTGCCCCCTCGCGTTTCTAGGGTCGATCAACGCCGTGAGCCAGCGAGGAATGCGCCGGTGTGGGATCTCAGACACGAGCCTGCCGGAGCTCGACACTCAGCCACTCGCATCCCATACCGAGCCGGGGAAGGTCAGATGACATCCCATGACGAGCTTTCCGTTCCACCTGGGGCGGGGTCGAGATGCGTGGATCTCACGCGCGACGGTCCAGCTGCATCATGTGCATGTGCGTGGGCGGGAAGGACACGGCACAGGCACGATGCTAGGCCGTTTGTGGGAGCGGCTAGGAGGTGAGACAAGATTGACGTGAGCCGCGATGCACGATGGTGCCCGCGCGAGCAGAGACAAGTCTAGCTGAGACACGCATGGCGGAAGGCTTGATAGCTGAAGGCGAGGGGCGTTTGTTGTGATCGGGCTTCACGTTCTTCGGGATGGGAGTATCAGTGGCTGGCGTTGCTGGGCCGTCGAGGGACCCGTTTGGTTCCTGGCGGGGCCGCGGGCTGGAATAGAATCTCAGGTTACGTTAGGGTGCGTTGGAGTTGAGGTAGCTGCGGCTGGACTGGCCGCTCCAGAGATGTTGACGTCTGGTCGAGGCGGGACGGGATGTTGGCTTGACGTCGGGGGTGCACGGACGATGCCGGAGGTAAGCTCCGGACTCCGGACACATGGCGGCAGCCCCCGGGCCCTCTTCCGGAAGGGAGAAGGTTTCGGGTGCCCTACGTGGCCTCCGCAGATTACAACGGCATTCGAGGGACGAGTCTGTTGGTCTCAAGTCCACATGGTTGACTTGTCGAATGGAAGACTTTTCGCTATAAAGAAGCCGTTTCTTGGCAATACTCGGCTCCCTCGAGGTCAATCTTGTTCGACGTCTACTTGAACTCAGGTCGAAAGACGGACAGCACCGTCCAAATACATCGAAGGTTACCGCTCTCAAGTGCGATCAGAATGCGAGGATAGACCTTGGCATGTTTTCTGAAGGATGATTTGAGTTGGAGCTAATATCGACCACATGCATACATAAATCCGCATATGAACAGCGACAGGCACATGCTACAACTGCCGTCAAACAGTCGCCAGTGCTCTATGGTATTAATGTCGTTCATTAGTCGCAGAACCAGATTTCCAAAGACGAAACTGACGTCTCGAGCAGACCTTCTTTCATCAATCAGTTTGGCAAAACCAGACCAAGGCTCCGGAGTGACACCGGCGGCCCAA